AACTGTTTAATAGTCAGAATTGTCCAAACATGAGGAGAATTATCTTTGGAGATAGTTCCCTGTCACTGCCTAGAGAATTTTGAGTTGCCTGAGAAGTTGGCAGTCAAGTAGTTGAGCCTCCTCATAGTGTAGTTGATGACCAGGAGGCCCAATGTTGCATGGCTGATAAATCAGAAAGTCAGGACCGAGGCCTCCAACTCAGGGAGGCCTTTTCACTGTAAATCCTCTTTGCATTGGATCAGGTTACATCAGTTACAGGAAATAAGTATGAGACCAGGGATATCTTGGAGGGGGGTTAAATAGAGGAACATTGGGTGAATATCTGATAAATTCCTCTTTCAACCTGAGAGCTATGATTCTATTATTCAAGTGAGTTTCTTTGCCTGACTTGATTCAGGTGATTATTTGATCAGTGCAGTTTAATAACTGCAGGGATAACAGGATTATCAATTCCACTTTATAGTGTGAACGGGAAGATAGCACTTGGCCATACCCTGGTTTCTTCCAACATAGCTGATACCTCTTGCATATTAGCTTTTTACCTTTGGAATCCTAAAGAAATTTTTCCCCCTAAACATTTAAAATTACTGACCATGCAACAGTGAACTCTGAGATGTGGGGCATCTCCTCTATCTTCATAGAGAATTTATTATTTGTTTCATTGTTACCAGATGATGATATGGTTTCAGAGGCATTTTAGGAGTCCACAGTTACATATTGTGGCTGTCAGAATGTGTTAAGGGGTGCAGAAAACTCCCCCAAATCAGGAGATATTGACAAATCACAAATTACAGGATTTCAATGACAAACATTCAATTGGTTGTCCCTCCCTTTTCCTATCCAATGGGCTAGAAAGGCATTATGTTGCCATATGGCCTCTGGGCTGCTGATGTGGGTCAGATTGTCACGATTCAAGGGAACAGCCCTTTGAGATGGGTGATAGGCTGTGGGAGTGAAGGGGAGTTGGAATTTGTGGTTAAATTATTTCCTGCAGGAGCTGTAGTCATCTCCTGGGAGGTGCTGTTTTGGGATTGGAACTTTTCCATGTTGAATATCCTCTTGGATTCCTTGGCATGGTTGTCCCTGTGTGCCTGCTTAGCCATACACTGTGGGGCAGAATCTGGCAAGAACACTTCTACTTCTAGCTTATATTTGCTAGGACAGTGTTGAAGGAAAGAAAGGTTTATCCCAAGGAAAAATTTCAAGTTGCCTTCAGTGACCTCAGAGTCTGCTTTCTTTAGCCTCTTCTGTGTTGTGTGTGTGTGTGTGTGTGTGTGTGTGTGTGTGTATGTGTGTGTGTGTCTGAGAGAGAGAGAGAGAGAGACAGAGACAGAGACAGAGTCAGAGACATGGAGAGACAGATGGAGAGATGGAGAAGAGGAGGGAAGGGATACTGGAGTGGGGGCAATGAAAACGAGAAAGAGCTTTTTCCAGATATAAGCAAGCCATTTTTAAAATTTTAATTCCACCATTTATTGAAGAGACTGTCTTTTTTCCATTGCATATTTTTTCCTGCTTTGTCGAAGATTATTTGACCATAGAGTTGAGGGTCCATATCTGGACTCTCTATTCTGTTCCATTGGTCTATATATCTGTTTTTGTGCCAGTACCATGCTGTCTTGGTGATCACAGCTTTGTAATATAGCTTGAAATTGGGCAACGTGATGCCCCCAGCTTTGTTTTTCTTTTTCAAGATCTTTGGCAAAGCAGGAAAAAAAAATGCAATGGAAAAAAGACAGTCTCTTCAATAAATGGTGCTGGGGAAATTGGATAGCTATATACAGAAGAATGAAACTCGATCATTCTCTAACACCATACACAAAGATAAACTCAAAATGGATGAAAGACCTCAATGTGAGACAGGAATCCATCAAAATCCTGGAGGAGAACATAGGAAGTAACCTCTTTGACATCAGCCACAGCAACTTCTTTCAAGATACAGACCCAAAGGCTAGTGAAACAAGCAAAAATGAACTTTTGGGACTTCATCAAGATAAAAACTTCTGCACAGCAAAGGAAACAGTCAACAAAATAAAGAGGCAACCCACAGAATGGGAGAAGATATTTGCAAATGACAGTACAGACAAAGCGCTGATTTCCAAGGTCTATAAAGAACTTCTTAAACTCAACACCCAAAAAACAAATAATCAAGTCAAAAAAAGGGCAGAAGACATGAACAGACACGTTGCCAAAGAAGACATACAAATGGCTAACAGACACGTGAAAAAATGTTCAACATCATTAGCCATCAGGGAAATTCAAATCAAAACCACATTGAGATACCACCTTACACCAGTCAGAATGGCAAAAATTGACAATTTTTGTCAAGGGCAAGAAACAGCAAATGTTGGAGAGATTGTGGAGAAAGGGGAGCCCTCTTACACTGTTGGTGGGAATGCAAGTTGGTACAGCCACTTTGGAAAACAGTGTGGAGGTGCCTCAAAAAATTAAAAATAGAGCTACCCTATGACCCAGCAATTGCACTCCTGGGCCTTTACCCCAAAGACACAGATGTAGTGAAAAGAAGGGCCATATGCACCCCAATGTTCATAGCAGCAATGTCCGCAATAGCCAAACTGTGGAAAGAGCTGAGATGCCCTTCAACAGACGAATGGATAAAGAAGATGTGGAATATTATGGAATAGAATATTACTCAGCCATCAGAAAGGATGAATACCCAACTTTTACATCAACATGGATGGGACTGGAGGAGATTATGCTAAGTGAAATAAGTCAAGCAGAGAAAGTCAATTATCATATGGTTTCACTTATTTGTGGAACATAGTGAATAACATGGAGGACATTAGGAGAAGGGAGGGAAAAATGAAGGGGTGGAAATCGGAGGGGGAGATGAATCATGGGAAAGGATGGACTCTGAGATACGAACTGAGGGTTTTAGGGAGGAGGGGGCTGGAGGGATGGGTTATCCCGATGATGGGTATTAAGGAGGGCATGTACTGCATCGAGCACTAGGTGTTATATAAAAACAATGAATCATGGATCACTACATCAAAAACTAATGTGTATGATGACTAACATAACATAATAAAATAAAATAAAAAAAATTAATTCCAGTATAGTTAATATACAGTGTTATATTCATTTGAGGTATACAATATAGTGATTAAATGTGTCTAACATTACTCAGTACTTATCAAGATAAGTGTACTCTAAATATAAGCAAGCCATTTTATGCCAGTCTAAATTGCCTTGCGTTTTTTTACATGCCTGATGTAGTCATTCCCAGGCATTCACTGACAGTTTCTGTGAGGTATGGAGAAGACGTGTGTGTGTGTGTGTGTGTGTGTGTGTGTGTGTGTGTGTGTGTGTCACTGATTTCTGCATCTGCATCTGCAGTAGCTGGAATACCATGTGTTACACACACACACACACACACACACACACACAAGTATATGTGAGAGACAGTCACAGAGAAAGAATAATCAAGGACAGGTGTTTTGAATAGTGGGGAAATATTCTCCAGGAAGTTATTTTTCTAAAAATCAGGATGGTTTATTAAACCATTTGTACAACTGCTGAGATAGCCAAAGGCATTGCATTCTAGGATGTGAAGGGGGTTGTATCCATGCAGTAACTGTGTTGTATGTATGAAAGTTTTCTTTTAACAATTAGGGACAAAAGTAAGAACAGAAAAAATGATAGGAGGAATCATAGAAAAGCAGTGGATCACCCCGTGTAGTTAAGGGAAATGTTTTCGTGACTTAACTTTTTAATGGTTATGAGCAGAGAGATTATGAGATCTTAAGAGTGGTCATATCAGCAATCATTAGTATCAGCAGTAAAGGATGGGCTATCACCATTTCTCATCCCATAGAAACAGTAAGTTCTGGTGACAGAGTGTTGTAGCACTAGGAAACTAGAAGAAAAAAAAAAGACCCAGAAGCAAACCAGGATGGAGACATTATAGCCATTCTGACCAGACTTTACCAATATCATCTGTTCACCTAGGGTCTAGAATAGGCCAGAAATTACAGGTAATGCGGAAGATCAGGAGGGCTAGAATTTGGAATAAGCCCCTACTCTCCTTTCTTACCTGTTCCCTTTATATGTAGTGATATTACAGACAGATGGATAGACTAGAGTGTATTCTGGAGGGGAAACTTCTGCAGATGTCAGAGGGAGGTTCAGATTAAGTATTCAGAGATCATTCATTCATTCAACAAGCATTTGTTACCAGCTGACTACTCCCCAGTCACCACACTTGTCACAGGTCTATCAGTGAAGTCATGCTCCCTGTCCTCAAGGAGTCCATAATCTAATGAAGAAAGTAGACATGTAAACAATGTGACATGTGTTATAATAAAGATATTTATAAATTACTATAGAAAGAGAGGTGAGGAAGCAACTCATTCTCTTGTATTTTTAAATTTTCCCCTCAACTTTATTGAGGAATAATTGACAAATATAGTTGATGGTTGTATATATTTAAGTTGTATACTGTGATGATTTGACAAAAATGGAACGATTACCCACATCAAGATAATTAACACATCCATCAGCTCACATATTTTCTCTTGTTTATATGTGGTGAGAATAATTACAATCTATTCTCAGCAACTTTTAAGTATATGATGCTATATTATTAACTATAGTCACCATGCTGTAACTCAGAGCTTACTCTTCTTATAACTGAAAGTTTTTACCCTTTGACCTACATCTCCCCATTCCCTGCCACCACCCTCCCCCCAGCTCCTGGCAACTGCCATTCTGTGCTCTGTTTCTATGAAATTGACTTTTTTTGATTCCACATATAAGTGATACTATACAGTATTTGTCTTTGTCTTACTTATGTCACTTAGCATAATGTCCAGGTTCATCTATGTTGTTGCAAATGGAAGGAGTTCAGGGCACCTGGGTGGCTCAGTTGGTTGGGCGTCTGGTTCAGCTCAGGTCACAGTCCTGGGGTCCTGGGATCCTGGGATCGGGCCCTGCATAGGGCTTCCTGCTCGGCGGGGAGCCTGCTTCTCCCTCCCCCTCTCCTACTCCCCCTGCTTGTGCTCTCTCTCTCTCCCTGTGTCAAATAAATAAAATCTTTAAAAAAAATGGCAGGAGTTCCTTCTTTTTTTAATGGCTGAATAATATTCCATCATATGTTTATACCACATTTTTTTAATCCATTCATCTGCTGAAGGACATTTAGGTTGTTTCCATATCTTGGATATCACAAATAATACTTCAATGAACATGGGAGTGCAGATATTTCTTGGAGATACTGATTTCATTTCCAAGGAATTGGGTGGGGTTCCTTGATCATATTTAATTTTTTGAGGGACTACCATGTTGTTTTCCATAGTGGCTGTGCCAATTTAAATTTCATACCAACAGTATATGAAGGTTCACTTTTTTCCACATCCTCACTAACATTTGTTATCTCTTGTCTTTTTGGTAATAGCTATTCTAAAAGGTTCGTGAGGTGATAGCTTGTGGTTTTGATTTGCATTTCTCTGATAGTGATATTGAACATCTTTCATGTACGTGTTGACCATTTGTATGTCTTTTTTTGGAAAAATGTCTCTTCAGATCCTTTGCCCATTTTTAAATTGGATTATTAGCTTTTTTTTTTTTGCTTTTAACTTGTATGAACTCTATATAGTTTTGATATTAACCCCTTATTAGATAGAGGTTGCCATTCTATAGGTTGCCTTTCAGTCTATTTCAGTCTATTGCTTGTTTCTTTTTTTAAATTTAATTTAATTTTATTATGTTATGTTAGTCACCATACAGTATATCATTAATTTTTGATGTAGTGTTCCATGATTCATTGTTTTCATATAACACCCAGTGCTCCATGCAGTATGTGCCCTCCTTAATACCCATCACCGGGATAACCCATTCCCCTAACCCCTGCCCCTCTAAAATCTGTTTGTTTCTCAGAATCCATAGTCTCTCATGGTTCATCTCCCCCTACAGTTCCCCCCCCCTTCATTTTTCCCTTCCTTCTCCTAATGTCCTCCATGCTATTCCTTATATTCCACAAATAAGTGAAACCATAAGATAATTGGCTTTCTCTGCTTGACTTATTTCACTTAGCATAATCTCCTCCAGTCCCATCCATGTTCATGTAAAAGTTGGGTATTCATCCTTTCTGATGGCTGAGTAATATTCCATGGGCCGTATCTTCTTTATCCATTCATCTGTTGAAGGGCATCTCAGCTCTTTCCAAGTTTGGCTATTGTGGACATTGCTGCTATGAACATTGGGGTGCATATGGCCCTTCATTTCACTACATCTGTGTCTTTGGGGTAAATACCCAGGAGTGCAATTGCTGGGTCATAGGATAGCTCTATTTTTAATTTTTTGAAGCAGCTCCACACTGTTTTCCAAAGTGGCTGTACCAACTTGCTTTCTTACCAATAGTGCAAGAGGATTCCCCTTTCTCCACAACCTCTCCAACATTTGTTGTTTCTTGCCCTGTCAATTTTTGCCCTTCTGACTGGTGTAAGGTGGTATCTCAATGTGGTTTTGATTTGAATTTCCCTGATGGCTAATGATGATGAACATTTTTTCATGTGTCTGTTAGCCATTTGTATGCTTCTTTTGAGAAGTGTCTGTTCATGTCTTCTGCCCATTTTTTGACTTGATTATTTGTTTTTTGGGTGTTGAGTTTGAGAAGTTCTTTATAGACCTTGGAAATCAGATTTTCAATAAGTGGTGCTGGGAAAATTGGACTGCTATATACAGAAGAATGAAACTCGACCGTTCTCCTATACCATACACAAAGATAAACTCAAAGTGGATGAAAGACCTCAATGTGAGAGAGAAATCCATCAAAATCCTAGAGGAGAACATAGGCAGTAACCTCTTTGACATCAGCCACAGCAACTTCTTTCAAGATACAGCTCCAAAGGCTAGTGAAGCAAAAGCAAAAATGAACTTTTGGGACTTCATCAAGATAAAAAGCTTCTGCACAGCAAAGGAAATAGCCAACAAAACAAAGAGGCAACCCACAGAATGGGAGAAGATATTTGCAAATGACACTACAGACAATGAGCTGATCTTTAAAGATTGAACTTTTGGATTGTATGCGAGAAAACAGAGGGAGGTAGAAGTGGAAGACTATATGGAAAGGCCTCAAAAGCCATGCTAAATGATGTGGATATTATCTTATTTATATTGGATAGCAACTAAAGAGTTTTTAAGTAGAAAACTGACAGGACCAGATTTTTATTTAGTAAAAATACCTCCACTAAGAATATGAATGGTGAATAGATTTTGATACTGGCAAGGATTTGGCAACTTGAAAAAAGGAGGGGAGATAAAGAGGTTTCAGACCAAGGTATTGTCATCGGTATTGAAGGGAAGAGATATTCAGAAGTAGAGCTTGATGATGCATTGAACATGGAGACTGAGGGAGGGCAAAGAAAAAGGAGCAATAGGCCAGAGTCTTGGGAAGCAGCTAGTGGAGACAGACAGGTTCAGAAGAGGTAATCTCAATAGAGTAGGGTCTGACAGGTGGACAGAACTCAATGATGAAGAAGCCAGGAATAGGAGATTTAGATGGGCAGGTGATGGGAAGTTGATACCAACAATAGGACAGGACCCTATGGTTCAACTTTCAGGCCAGGATTTTAATTTTGGAAGTAGAGAAGACAGAAAAATAAAGAAGAGTTTCTAACATGAGACACTCACGGACAAAGAACCAAGCAGAGACTTTGTTATCATAACTGAGAGGCATCAAAGACAAATTATCAGCACAGATGATCTGATGCTGATTCCTGAGCTCTGGGAAACTTCCATCCTTAAATTCCTTCTGCTGAAGGTCAGTAGTTGAATGGGTGAGGGGGAATCTGAACTTCTAGTACCTGAAGACCCCTCCATCTGCTCTGCACCCACTTTTTGTCAACTTGGACTTTAGTCCCCCCACCACCACCTTGCAAGTCTCTTGTTTATTCATCCATCATAATTTCCTACCTACACTCTGTAGATTAGGCAGATGCTTGATTGATAATCCCCACAAATATTGGTGTAGCTAGCTCCAGACTTTGACTAAATCACACCTCTCTCACAAAGGCATAGCCAGGGGAGGCCCCAGAGTGGTGTATGTGACTTAGCTGCAGGACCAGCAGGGCTGCATAGTCTAATCACTAGGAACTGGTGGGATCAGAAGTGAACATCAGAACCACTCTAGAGTTATACTGGCATATTATTTACAATTTCTGCTTATAGAAAAAGTTTAAAAGAACTCTAAAGTACCTTATGTCTCTAAGAGTCACTGAGACCCAAGCCTCCAGAGTCTTTAAAGTATGACTATGAGACTAATGATACTCTTCTTGTTAACTTCCTAGATTTTCACAACAATGGTGATCTTGTTGAAGTAGAGGTGGACTCTTGCCCCACCAACATTCCTCCTTTTTTATCAGCATTGCCTGAATATGACCAGATTTTCTGTTTCTTAGATTATTAATTTCAGGGGATTTATCTTTTTTTTAGGATATCTGAATAACTTGGAACAAAGTCCCCTGGGCTAGATCAGACAACTTTTTGTGGCATTGTTTATTATTAAATCAGTGTGTCATTCTGGAGCCCATATATTTTGTCTACAGTTTTGTCAAGATGACTTCTCTGCTTCTCTGCAGATGTCCTTGAGAAATTGAGGAAGTTTTTGTCCTCAATTTTTGTTTAATAATTTAAATCCATATTTCCTTGATTTTACCTCTTATTTATTTATTTATTTATTTATTTATTTATTTATTTATTTAATTTTTATTTAAATTCTAGTTGGTTAACATATAGTGTCATATTGATTTCAGGAGTAGAATTTAGTGATTCATCAGTTAAACATGACATCCAGTGCTCATCACAAGTGTCCTCCTTAATACTCATTATCCATCTAACCCATTCCCCACCCACTTCCCTCTATCAACCTTCAGTTTGTTCCCTATCATTAAGAGTTTCTTATGGTTTGTTTCCCCCTGTTTCTACCTCTGTAACTCATTCCGTCGTTTTTTTTTTTTTAAGATTTTATTTATTTATTTGAGAGAGGGAGAGAGAAGGACAAGCAGACTTCCTGCTGAGTGTGGAACCTGACATGGGGCTCAGTCTCAGACCCTGAGATCATTACCTGAGCTGAAATCAAGAATCAGATGCTCAACCAGCTGAACTACCCAGGAGCCCCCATTCTATCATTTTTCTAACCAGAACATCAGTTACTCTTGCAAAGTGTACTCTGGAAGCAGTTAATATATATTTGTGTTTACAGCAATTCACAGAAAACTGTTTACAGTTCTTTTTACAGTATAGAATTAATAATTAAGAAATGTTTTATTTTCTCCATGAAATTCCAAATTATAAGAAGTTTTTAGTTGAGGTATATGAAATGATTGGATTCAAATAACACTGTGGTCACAGTATCAGAGCCATAATTAATATCAAGATCACAAAATCCATGGGATAGTGTGGAGAGCACAGTGTTGCAACTGTATAGACTTGCCTCTAAATGCTGGCTCCTCCAGTTACCGGGTCTGTGATTGAGCAAATTTCCTAACTTCCCTGAGCCTGTTTCCTCATCTTTAAAGTAAGGATTATAATGCATAATTTGCGTGGTCATCAAGGTTCTTAAATGAATTACATACAATGGTCTGGCACTCTGCCTGACATAGCAGGTGTTCAATAAATGGTAATTATTAATATTATGTAATTATGAAATCTTATGGACTTAGAACCCAATATGTCATTCTTTTTTAAGGCATTCTTATTTTGATTTAATTTTTACATGTGTATGGTTTCCATCAAAAGAGAAGAGCAGAAAATATGTGTATTTTTGTTTTCTTTTTCAAGGACTTTTTCTTCAAGAGTTGACCCCCTCTCCCTGAGATTATGGAAGTTATTGAAGGTCCTTTAGTGAGCAGTGTGATCTGTTGGATTCCTTTACTATCTCTAGGAGATCAAAGAGAAGGTTTTCTTCTGTTTCAGGAAGAGTGTAGCTTTTGATGAATAGTGAATGATAAATGTAAATACTAAAAATTTGTTGAAAATTCCCCCAGATACTTTTATTGTTTAACTCCCTTGTATACATTCTACCCTCTACAACAGTCCCTGATTTTGATGTGGGCATTTACCCACTGCCTACTCTTACTACTTATGGTTGTGGTGGGGTAGAGGGTCTGCTTTTGACTTGGAGGGTGAAGAATGCTACTTGGCTATTACTAGGCAATGGTGAGTGGGCATGCAACCTGGGTTAACAAAGGCAGAGAAGATCTCAGGACACCTGTGTGAACCGCCATCAGGGAGACATCATTCCATGTTCCCCCTCCCCCTACACCTTGAGATTTGAGCCTGGAAGTGTGTAGGCTGAGATGCTGCAGCCATCTTGTGACTGTATGCCAACAGTCTGCCCGAAAATGGAGTCAGCAAAGAGAAAAGCAAGCTGAGAGACTGAGAGATTCACTCAACTCTGATGATACCCTTTGAGCCTCCAATTGAATACTGCCTGCAAGTTCCATCTAGGACTTTTGAATTATATGAACCAATACATTCTCCTTTTCACTTATCAAAGTTTGAGTTGAGTTTTTTTTTGTAACTTCAAATGGAAGTGGAACTGACTGATAGAATTGCTAATTGCTTTTTACTATGTTCTGTGTTTATAATAAATTAAAAAAACACCAAGATAACCGGGGCATGTTAAGGAAAGAAAAGTAATAGAGAGAGGGGAGAAGGAGGAATAAACAAACCCTCCCCCCAATTCTTTCATAGCTCCATTTTTCCTCCAAAGCAGACTGAGTCAATATCAATCACATTATACTTTATTTTTTGATACATTCCACTGGGAGCAAGAGCAAGGGCTTGTCTGGGGATGCTGGAGGCCTGCTTCTAGGAACTTCTGCAGAAATAGGACTGTGAGTCTATGGCCCCAGCCCTGTTCAACTATGGTAACTACCTGGGTGTCTAAGCATGGTGTTTGCTTTAGAAAATGATTTAACTGCCTCCTTGTCTAACATTCTTTTTATCTTCTCAAGTCAGAGATCCAGAACCCTTTTGTTTTTAGGTCTTCTATTCTCTCCCAGCACCCAGGACACCAAGGCCTATTTTTAAATTCCAGTAGTAGAGATTTGAGTAGACCATAGTCCTCACTTCATGGCATATTTCATTATTGGTCTATGCAGATGCTTTTTTGGAATGGTTGATTAACTATTTCCATTCTTCACTCTCATTCCTCCATACCTCCCCCACCAGACAATTGTTCTAATGAGTTTACTGTGTGTCTCTTAATTTGTATGGGTTCCATAGAATATGCATCATTAAGATACCTAGGAATAAACCTACCTAAAGTGGTAAAGGATCTGTACTCTGAAAACTATGGAACACTTATGAAAAAAATTGAAGAGGACACAAAGAAATGGAAAAGCATTCCATGCTCATAGGTTGGAAGAACAAACATTGTTAAAATGCGTATACTACCCCAAAAACAATATACACATTTAATGCAATCCCTATCAAAATACCAGCAGCATTTTTCACAGAGCTAGAACAAACAATCCTAAAATTTATATGGAAACACAAAAGATCCCGACTAGCCAAAGTAATTCTGAAAAAGAAAACAAAACTGGAGGCATCACAATTCCAGATTTCAAGCTATATTACAAAGCTGTAGTCATTAAGACAGTATGGTACTGGCAGAAAATCAGACACATAAATCAATGGAACAGAACAGAGAACCCAGAAGTGGATCCACAACTGACGGTCAACTAATCTTTGACAAAGCAGGAAAGATTATCCAATGGAGAAAAGTCAGTCTCTTCAAAAAATGGTGTTGAGAAAACTGGACAGCAACATGCAGGGAAATGAAACTCGACCACTTTCTTACACCATACACAAAAATAAACTCAAAATGGATGAAAGATTTACTACATTGAGATGTTTTAAATATATATATATATAATTTTTAAAAATTTTTTATTTTATTTTATTATGTTATGTTAGTGACCATACGATACAACATTAATTTTTGATGTGTGTTCCATGGTTCATTGTTTCCATATAACACCCAGTGCTCCATGCAGTACGTGCCCACCTTAATACCCATCACCGGGATAACCCATCCCCCCCTCCTCTTCCCTTCTAAAACCCTCAGTTTGTTTCTCTGAGTCCGTAGTCTCTCATGGTTCCTCTCTCCCTCCGATTACCCCCCCTTCATTTTTCTCTTCCTTCTTCTAATGTCCTCCATGGTATTCCTTATATTCCACAAATAAGTGAAATCATATGATAATTGACTTTCTCTGCTTG